GGAATATTATGTTTTATTATTTCTGTTCCTCATAAATCACTGTGACAGGGAGGGCCACATTACACCTAAGTATAGGAAGTCCCCGCTTTCTTTCTTCTTCCTTACCTTTTTATCACACCCCGCCTTGTTTGCACTCTCATTCTCTGTCCCTCTGCCACCCTCGGGGATTGACACATGGCTCCTCATCAGTTCAAGAAGAACATCAACAGCAGCCTTGTCCCCTGGGTGTGTTTTTAACTCTCCCTAATTGGCATGTGCATCATGACACAGCAGTAAGCCTGTGTGTGCTTTCACAGCAACAAAAGACCTTCAGTAAACCTAACTAGCACAGCTAATATGACACACCTATTTAAAACCAGTGTCATATCCTTAAAGATAGAAAAGTAGAAAAATAAAGTAGTCTCAGAGACGCTGAGAGGGCACAGAGGTACTGAAAACACTCTCATCTGGGAGCTGCCATGCCCTGAAGCAGAACCAGAGACCACACCTGTAACCACTTGGTGACAGCCATGCCTAACTACCAAGTCCCTGCAGGGCTCTTTGATAACATGTACTGTAGATACTCACAGGACTCTGCCCACCTGCTGGATACAGTGTAGTCCAAAATATATCAGCTGCTATTGGTTTCTGTGCATTGCACTACAACACAAATATCAACTTACAAACAGTTATTTCCTTGATGCAGCAGGTAATCTGTAGAGTATACTATAATTTCCAGTTACACAAATATTTAAATATTTGAATGATTTTTTTTAAACCAGTGAGTCACTAGCCTTTTCTGTCTGCCATTTGGTGCTGATGGAAAATGGGTTGATGTGAGCTGGGGGACAGACCCGTAAAGTAAATGTGCCATAAAAACAAAACAATGTGTTACAGGGGGGTTTAGAAACACTTAAGAGCTGCAGTGTTCGGGTGAATCTGTCATTCCAGAGGACCCCATTTTACATGCTCATAATTATTTTATTCAGTGTTAATAGAAAAAATATTGATTAGTTGTTCCCATGGTATACAATGTAGAAAGAACACTTTTTGCTCCAGCGTCTGAGACGTCATAGCAGCAAGAAAGGACCAAAATCATATGAACATTTTCCCAACATTTTTATTTTCTTCTGAAAACATTTAGGTCATCATTGCCTGCACATTGCATCATTTCATTGCCTTATACTGTACACCTGGCGATAATCCACTATCACTAACACCACCAGCAAGTTACAAGAATACACCAGAATTCATCAAAATCACTGAACATTAGAAAAAGTTAAGAAAATGCATCTACAGTTTTATCCATATATATTTTTGACACTAATAGCAACACTATAAAAACTATACCTTTTAACATTAGACATTTTAAAGGATAAGGCTGGTCATTTTCTATATAAAACTGTAAAAACACATATATTGTATTTACAAAATGCATAGTGTAAGTTGGTCTCTCTAAAGCTGAACAGACACTGTACAACATGTACTGATCATATACAGTGTACAGTGTCTGCTCAGCTTTAGGAGATGTTAACTTATATTATAGAGAGAATTCTAATTAACCATTGCAGTGAGGAAGATAGGGGTTTGGTTTACAATGGAAAGGGGTCTACAGTTATGGAAAATATATGTGGTCTGTAGTTAATATAGGCTATAACATGCATAATCAGGGTTATGGTCCTTTATTGTTACATTTTAAGAAAGTCAGAATCTAAGAGTGGGATTCAGATTTACATTTTTGCCCTTTTTTGTTTGAAACTCAGGTGAAACTGTGGAATATTAAGTAGCTCTGATAAGGTTCCAAAAAAAATTTTGTACAGTATGCAACTTTTTCTGTGCCTCTTTTGAGAGCCTCATTTAAAGTTTCCAATTTGCTCAAAGCAATTGAAACACCAGAAGATCCTCCACCAGACATTAATCAGGAATTACTTTCTCTTCAGTGTCTACTGTGTTTTACCCTTCTCCCTTCCTTCTGGTGAAACTTCTACAACCCAAATGCCCTAATATACTGTTCTGCACAAGTTCAGAGTCATTTATCTCTCTGAATGTTCAGCCTTGGTCGAAAGAAAACACCTTTTTCAAGAAGATTAGCAACTCTATGCTTGAGCTACTGCTTTAGGCTGACAGAGGAGTGGGACTTTAAGGTTTTATAACATATGCAGTGGTTGGACTTCAATTATTTGATCTTGACATATCTGCAACATAAAATTAAATAACTTAGCGGCGTGTGAAGTGGATGATGGTGTGAGGATAAATAGTGGGATTTCCCAGGCTCTGTGTTTGATTCCGATCCATCTGATCATAAAATTTAATTTCTGGTGGTGACACGGTTTATACCCCCTTCTAGACTTTTATCAGTTTAATCTCTTTGATGTATGTTTTAATGAAAGCCTGTAGCCAAAAGAATCAGGACCACTTGCAATCCACTGAAGTTCTGCTACAGCTTTGCAGCAGCCGGTGGACTGGATTTGAAAAGTGATGCATCAGTGCATCATTTTGAAATACATTTTGTTCTGGCAGCCACTATTTTGGAGTTTTAGCAAACAAGAGCAGTTTGTTTGAAATGGCTATTCACAGTTTGAACAATTCTTCTTCTAACCTTCAGAAGGTAGAGGGTGGGGCTAATTAACTGGACTGCTCTTTGAAAACACAGTGTAGAGAAGCTGAAATAACAGCACGGCTGAGACACCAGATCCTGCCCTGTTTCACTTGAGTTGTCAGACAATGTGTAAAATCTTAGTTAATCTACTTTTAACATTAAAAAAAGTTTTTAAAAAGTGAGCAACTGACATTTTCAGTAACCTGTCTCCACATTCTACTGCCTCACCTGTCACCTTTGTCCCATCCCATGATAACATCTGTCAGCTGTCAACAATACAACAACAAAACAACCTTTTATTGTTCTGTTTTTGCACTGCACTTGTCTCGATAAGAACCATAGTGATGTCTCCCTGAGCAGCACGTAGCACTTGAAGATAAACACTTCGAATAAGCATAAAGATGCTCTTTGAGATAATCTGTCTGCTTTTCTGCAAGGATATTCACATTGTGTATGGCCTACATTGTCTGCTCCAGTGAGGATTCAGAGCAGACAGGATATTCGTCATAGTCTTCTCTGTCCTCCTTTATGTGCACACAGACTTCAGAGATCGCACAGCAGAATGACAGCATCTCTAACAATGTTGCTGCAGAGGAGAGCAATACAGATCTTCCACTGGAGGACACAACCTGCAGGCCATTCTGACCTCTGAATATTATTTTGGCTCTTGGCTCCAGCTGTGAAGCTAATCTTTGTGTCAGCATAAGCCATTCTGCTATTTTTAGTTTGATTAGTTTCATTTTAAATCACAGTGTTTCTGAATTTCCTAATTGCACTGTTATCTATGATGGCACCTCTCAATTACTGCTCAGTGCAATTACCTGCTTTGGATTTTTTTTTTCTCATATACTTGTACACAAGGAGGTTCAATTTGCTGGTTATATTTTGCTGCTAGGGAGATGCAAGGTCTGTGGGATGCGCCCTGAACATATGGTACACTACTGCCACCCTGTGGAAACAAAAGGAGACCTCATTTCACCTCACAGCTATAATTGGTAACTTACAGTGTCTAACTTTGTTTATAGACATCCTGTAGGATGCTAATGCAGGATGTTCAAATATAGTGTTAAGAATGAGTCACAGACTTCACAAATCTGTTTGGCTGAGAATAATTAAAGACAATGATTTGTGCATTAAGTGTAGCGTATTGTAGCTCAGAATTTTACAATTGGTGCCGAATATTAATCATAAAATTGGTATCAAAAGAGAACAAATCAAACTGAAAAAGTCATGCAAAACAGTAACAGGGACTGTGTCCAAGGTTCATATCGCAAGTTTACCCCTGGTTCAAAATTAGGCAGTATCGTGATACACATTATGGCCTGAAGTAACAGTTATAGATTAACTATGATACCATTAATTCAATAACCACTGTGGCAATGTGATGTATACTATATTGTAATTCAGATCATTAACAGTATAATAGATGATTAGATGCTTATTTTGATATCATGGTATTTATGTTATACAGGGTGGGCCACGGAAAAGTACCCCGCCTCCAAAACAATCCACTTGCTCATTCATCTTTTCCATGGCCCACCCTGTACACTATAATGTTATGCTGCAAGTTATGTTAGTGTTATGTTCTATGATCCACATGAGAATACAAGATGCTGGGTTTTAAATAACATGAAGTGTGGAGCAGGGACAGCTAGAAATACTTCTGTTGCAGCCGCCAATGCTGGAAGGAATTAAGGATAAAAAATGAAGAAATAGGATCAGTTTGTCTCTCTCTGTCTGCCTCCCTGGCGGATCAACACATGGCTTCTCACCAGTGCTAGTGAACATCAGCAGCAGCTTTGTCCCCACGGTGTGTGTGTGTGTTTTTTCACTTTCCTTAATTACCATGTGCGTCAAGGCAGCATGCTCAATTTCTCAGCACCAAAAGACATTTACTAAATCTAATTGGCAAAGCCTGAATATGAGACCACTCCAAAAACTAGAATACCCTCATTAAAGAAAAGGTTAACAGTAATGTTGTTGACAGAGACCCTGACAAACAGAAACGGTGAATCAGAAGCTTGCCTTGGGGCCATACCTACAAACATTCGGCATCCTCCCTGCTCATTTATCACATCCCAGCTGGGTAAACCCTAACCCAGAGCTCTTTCATAACATCCAAATGCTCATGGTATCTTAGTAAACATCTCAGTAGGTGTACCCTAGAGCCACATGGGCAATTTTTTATCAGTGATGAGTTAACAGAAAGGGACACAACAACACTAAAATAAATTTGCATTACATGTATATTGGATGTTCATGGAAAGCAGGAAAAGGTGGGCAATGCAATTATGAATCCATGCAGGGTGAACGTGATTAAATGTTCTTTCATTTTTCCTCCATCGTCCATTTTCACTTTTTGTTTGTAAGACTTTTATAGCTGTCACTGCTGTGCCATCCCCAGACCTTTAGGATGATTGGTTGAATGCCAACTCTTTCATATCACTGAAGTGAGAATATGGAGTTTGGGATATTGCCTTCATATGTTTGTGAAAAGAAAATCTGAATCAAAGATAATGCCTGTATTTCGGGAGAACTGTGCTGCCACTGAAGTTGAAAGAGAGTCTGATAAGTGAGTTCCCGTGGCCCAGAATTAGCATTTCACTTTTATCTGTGTTAAGAATAAAGTTCTTTGTCTTTTTTGCATTGGTGCAGAGAGATTTAAGCACTCAAAGATTTCAAGATTTTTACAGTAACACAGCGAAACAAATCTACTGTACTGCTTTGTAACACCTGGCTTGTCTGAGACGTCATAGTAAGTGACATTCTCACCTTTGTCTTTAGGTGTCAGCCTCCCACCAGCTAGAATTTAGTGCATCCCTCTGCCCCAAACAATCCAACCGCACACTGTATCTGTAAGTAAAGAATCAGATAGTAAAATGCATCAGCTATAAACATGAGGAGATGAAAGGAAGAATTTTGTTGTTTGGTCATTATTTCCCCATTTTCACAAATTTACAGTTACTAGTGTGAATTACATTTGGCTCCAATGACAAACTATGAACACGTAACATAACACTGAACACAAAGCCTGCTGGCTAGCTCTGGACTTTCTGTATTCTGAAGTTATCTCCCAGAAATGTTCTAAATGCCTCATGATGTCTTCAGCTAAACTATCACAGAGTCAACAGATTTACACATTTCTGCAGAGATACATAAAGCTCTACCATGAAATAATCACACAAGTAATTTATCAAAAGTGCAATAAAATAATTTTGTCACCTAATCGATGTTATTTATGAAATGGTAGCTAGAAAAGACAATCCAGTGCAAATTTTCTTCTTGAACATACGTTTACTGCAAGTTTGGACCACTTATTAGAATCAGAATCAGCTTTATTGGCCAGGTGTGTTGACACACAAGGAATTTGACAGGCTCTCAATATGTACAGTATGTACAATGTTCTTCTGTAAGGCAACAATTAGTCACATAACCAAGATAAAACTGAGGGAACAAGAATAAAAAGAATGTGCAAAGAAGAAAAAGGAATGTGCATTAGGAAAATAAAAATAAAGTACTTATAAATATAGAAATATATACTATATATACACAAAGTTTAGATGCAGTTTTTCAGGTAGATATATGCAAGAATTGTATTGAGGGTTGTCGTTCAATTTGAAACATTATATACGCCAAATTAGCTATTAACAGTTCTTGTATGCTTTGTATCATTGGATGTCTGACAACTGTCCGTAAATTAGTTTGATACTAACGAAATCTTAAAAACCTAATGGGCTTTAGGCAAGTTCAGAAGCATTCCAATTCGTGTACCATTCCAGATTCAGAAATTACGAGATAGCAGGTATTTAATTACAAGATAGTAAATCAGACGTACGGCTCCTGTTTTCACTGTTGCTGAATGTAAGGCATTTCCGTAGCTTACGCGTTGGCACGGTAAGAAAAGGTTGCGTTTACCAGCAATAGTTTTACTTTGAAAAGAAAAGGAAGTAAGTTTCATTTCCGGTGTTGGCACAACTTCTGCTAACGCTATAAGTTGTGTATCTGGTTTCTTTTAAATTAGATCATCCAGTCTTTCAGGTCTTGGACTGTGTGTTTGAACTGAGAAGTTAAAGCTGTGTGCTAAATGAGAACGAGCTGTATTCTGCATTATAAATATCTTCCGAT